CTGGCTAAACACTTTGTTTAACACTTTGTTTTTGTAATCTATATAACAATGTTTAACAAATATCTGCACACCAGTCAAGCCATAAGACTTGCTTTTCCCACAGACATCACAGGTTTGCAGTGATGTTACTACCGCAAAGGATTCTGGGTGGGTATATGCAAATTAGTTCAACAAAGAATCACATTTTTTGCCTCATTCCATTTTAAACATGGATTCCTTTGAGTCTGTGTTTGCTGTATACAACAGCTTTGAAAAGCAAGTCTTATGGCTTGACTGGTGTGCAGATTTTTCTTTAACAATGTATTAAAGGACCACTCTAGGCACCCAGACCACTTCAGCTTAATGAAGTGGTCTGGGTGCCAGGTCCAGCTAGGGTTAACCCATTTTTTAATAAACATAGCAGTTTCAGAGAAACTGCTATGTTTATGAATGGGTTAAGCCTTCCCCTATTCCCTCTAGTGGCTGTCTCATTGACAGCCACTAGAGGCGCTTGCGTGCTTCTCACTGTGATTTTCACAGTGAGAGCACGCCAGCGTCCATAGGAAAGCATTGTAAATGCTTTCCTATGAGACCGGCTGAATGCGCGCACAGCTCTTGCCGCGCGTGCGCATTCAGCCGGCAGGGCGTAACGGAGGAGGAGAGCTCTCCGCCCAGCGCTGGAAAAAGGTAAGTTTTAACCCCTTTACCCCTTCCAGAGCCGGGCGGGAGGGGGTCCCTGAGGGTGGGGGCACCCTCAGGGCACTATAGTGCCAGCAAAACGAGTATGTTTTCCTGGCACTATAGTGGTCCTTTAACTACTTACAAAGACCTTTAGGTGCTATAATTCTCAGTTAATTTAATTTATATGTAATGTAATATATATTATACAGTCACTTAGAAAACTGCTATTTTTATCTTTAACCACTGGAGGGAGTAGGTACCTTGTATTTTTAAATATGGGTTGTTACTCCGTTCATCACAGAGAAAGATCTAACTATATTTGATTTCCTAGTAGTCTATTATTTTTTATAGTTTATACTATTTATAACCTGCCAACAGTTGTAGCAATGTAAAACAGTTGACCAACACTATATAGACCTAAATTAATTGTTTGAAACTATGGATGTATTGTAGGTTTTTCAAGTGTGATGATGTTTAAATGAAACCCATGTAGCTTAGCTTGTTTCACAGTTATGTGTAGTATATTCTTCATTTGGGTCCCTGACAAAAAGTTTTATAATCACTGGTGTAATAAATGTATACGTTCGTGGGGCTGCCAATGTGTGGTGCTTGAGATACTTTTTGTAACTGGGACTGCAAACACTACTACTTACCATAGTTTACAGTTCAGGGGATCTGATGATGTTCGTCTTTCTGGGTTATGAAGGACACATCTTCAAGCTGGTGAGTTCCCGTGATTACATGGAGTATTGCAAATGGAAGATAATGTACAGCTCAATACCTTTATACTTTTTTCTATACTTTAATGGTGAAATAGAAAACTACAATTAAGAGAGAACATGCATCCAGACTTATAGAAATCAGAACTCCAAATTTATTTCTGGACAGATGAATTTGATTAACGAAAAATATCTAAAAAATGTTTATGTACACACCACACAAATCACTCATCTGTGAGTGAGGATGATAGTAGCTGCACTACACAAGATCTAAAGCTGAACTGCAAGTACCATCATACTCAGCCATGTTGTGTTTTACCCCAATGGCTCAGATGACTACAAGATTAGGAAACAGAGGGCACTCCAAATCTAGCACATTTTCCTTTTCCACTCCTCGTGCTGTGGCTAACAACCACCATTACGCTCATACACACTATTCTTGTCTGAGAATAGTAGTTGAGGTCCACAGCATGGGTTGTACAAAATTAAAGTGTGCCAAGTGAGTGAACAGAATAGCTTCCACATACTGTGGTGTGGAATAATGGAGAAGATTGAAACTTTCATTTTATTTTTTTATCTTTATTTTTGCAGTGCGTGAGTAACATAAACAAGCTTGTATCGCCACAACAGCATGTACAAGCTAAAACAGTAATAGAGTGAATACAGTATTATGGCATGCAAGAATGGCTCCATTTATTTGTTAGTATATGCAGGTTAGGTACTTAATGTCTTAAGTTATAGCCTGTACTAGTAAGGTAAAAACTAGGTGAAAATAAGACATATCGGTTAGTAATAAAGGAGTACTATCATGAAAAGCGTGTCTTAGAGCTAGCATACTCTTAGATTAAATTCGTCTGCATCAAGCTAGGCATGTTAAGAAATAGACCATTGGACTGAAAAAAGAGAAAAATCATACTTTTCTAGTAAAACAAAAGCAGAATATACATTTATGGCATTGCTGGAAACGTTCAGGAGGCAACATGTTTCTGCCTGTTTAGAGCTGCCTGTGAGTAAGTCCCGGTGTGCACACTGTGGTACTGTCCAGGAGTGTGTTTATGCATTCATCCTATGCCCACGATCGGGAAGCTGCCAGCAGGTTGGTCTAGGGGCCACATTCAATTTTAGCCACACCGCTGGCCCAAGGCCTTCTCAAGGGCCCTTGTGCACTTTCCACCACTCGGGTCACTTTCAGCACCGCAAGCGAGGTCCCGGGCGGTTGTGTAATGGAAAAGTCCCGTCCGCGCATGTGGGGTACGCAGCAGGGTGTTTCCCTTTTGGGCACTCAGCCCAGGAAGGCAGATGCAAGCCTCGGATTTTATGGGCCGCCTTTCCGCTTCGCTGGTCTCAGTTTCCCGGGTGTTGTGTGCGGTCTTTTCTTCCCGCCAGCCACTCCAGGCGGTTTTTCTGGCGGTGAGTAATGCGGTCGTGTAGGGTGTAGCGGCTCCCTCTGGGTCTGTGCCCCTTTGTTCTGCATTCTCTGCCAAAAGTTTGCGAGGATGTCGTCCAGGCGCTGCTCGAGTGTATGCAGTCAGTTCAGTGTGTCTGTAGTTGGTGGGTGCAGTAGCCGCCATTTTGAGGCAGATTGCGCCCCTCTATGTCTTTGCTTTAAGACGATGTGCTTGTCAGGGATGAAGCTTGGCTGTGGGGATGGTGTTGGGATAACCCCCACCGGCGGGGGGGAGCAGGGACCTGTATAAGTACAGCTTATTCCGGTCGGGGAGGCAGTAGGGAGATCGGCTGCTTCTACCAGGCTCTCACCTCGAGGTAGGCCTCAGTGGCAGTGTGGACTCAATCTGCTTGTTGGATGCCTGGAAACCCTTGTGCTGTAGCAGAGTAGCTTTCAGGTAGGTATCAGCGCAAATTTAGCCGTTTGTTTGCTTTCAAAATACTGGTTTTGGGCGATAATTGTCAACTTTTGTACAGAGCCACACTGCGTGCAGCCTTTCAGTTTGGCAGCCCCCCGAAACTTTAATTCTTAATCCTATTGCATTATAAGGGCCGATATAAATGATGCTATAATGGTGCAAATGCAGAATGTAATATGCCCCATGTTGACATTCAAAACAGATATTAAAAAGTACAGTGGTATTACGTAAATGCACCCTTTCAGATTCATTTCTGATGGTAATCCTGTGTTTTCATGCAGTGGTATCTAAAGATTTCTTTTTATGTAATGCCTCAAAGCTACAGTTCTAGTTATTTGAAGGACGAAGTTTATTTTTGTGTGCGGATACATGCATCAGGAATGGGTTTGTTTAAGGCAGGTGACACAGAATCCAAAATTACTTGTTTTGTAGGAAGGAAACTATTTAAAATCAGGGATAAATTATGGAATGCCAAATGTGGAGTAAATTGTGAAGTAACTTACACTAAATAAAAGCAAAGTTTTATTTTTCTAAGAAATATAGCAGCTTATCACGCTTTATTTGTTAAAACTAAAACGTTGATATTTTTTATCTTGATCTAAAGAAAAGCAAAATTTTCTTTTTATGCCGATATAAAGTCATTGGAGTGTCTTTGTACACTGCAGTACACACAGGTGCGTGTCCGTTTGCGCATGAGTGTGTGTGTATGTATCAGACACGTAAAACCAAAATGGAGTATTGGTGTTGTGGCAAACTTATGCTGTGTATAGTCATATATGGTAACTATCTCCAAGTCAGGTGTTTAAAATAAATTAAAGTATATTTAAGAGCACAAGAAGTACAAAACTCACAATGGCATACTGTGTGTTTGATTGTATTACAAAGAGTCTCAGAAATAAAACTGTGTGACTCATGGCAAGTGAGGGGTGACAAAGTCAGACATGATTTATGGGAAGTGAGGGGTGAAATATGGCATGAGAGATAAGTAACATATGGCAAGTGGAATACAGAGCATGTAATAAATGTACATCTATTTAAAAAGTATATGAGTATCATAGAGCTCTACAGCAATAAAAACCCACAGTGATGTATTGCGTGCATGTATTTCACAACACTCCTCAAGAACACATCTTGTAATTTGTGTTCTATTAAGTGGGTCCACAGAATACATACCTGGATTTTTTTAGACAGTGTCGCGATGGGACTAGAAGTTTACAAGAGTTTGGAAAAAAAAAAAAAAAGAGAGAGAAAGGGATCAATCCACAGAGCGCTCTATGCAATAGGTTTTTATTTCTCTATATGTATTGTATCACTCATCAATGAATTCTGATGAATGGACAGCCAGATTAGCTTTTCTAACATTAATTAGCAGATTGTCAGTTCACTATGCCCTTTTTTTCCATTTTGATGAATTAACCCCTTGTAAAAACATCTTCATTACACAGGACCAATTTCTACATGAAAAGCGATCACATCTAGTGGGCCAAACTGAAATTTAGCGCCCTAAATGTGTACTCTGCCCTGAGCCCATGTCTCTCAATACTATTTTGCTTCATCCATCATCTACGTAGTCAAGATTGCCAATTGTTGGCTATTTGGATGATAGCTGGATTACTGTATTATTGCAGTAGTTTCTAAGAATGTCGGCTTTAAAAAAAAATAAAATAAAATAAAATCAAGGGGTTTGGGAAGCACCAGTAATAAAGCTTTGGAAGATACAGACTTTTATATATATTTATATATATATATATATATAATATATATTTTAGATGTATACACACAACAAATTGTTTCAAGTACAGTAGCAGCAGGGAGCAAAACTTCTGATCCAGGCCACAAAGACACTGGGCTGTCATCGTGTGCAAGAGGGTGGAGGAGTCTGAATGCAAACAAGGGCGATGTTGCTATTAATACTTAAAAGCACATCATGTTAAATATCAGGTTGTTATGGAGACACAAAGCTAAAATTTAACCCATTCCCAGCTACGTGTGGCTTTTCTTAGTAAACTGATGCACTAGCACAGCAGCCTGTAACAATGTTGTGTTCCTGGTATGATGCTGCGTGCAGCAAATCTCCCATTTAATGTTGACTTATGCTTTGAGAACCATAAGTTTTGATTTTGGTTTTTAATGCATAGTTAGTATGCATTCATAGATAATAGTACATAACGCAGGGCTGTAATCACTTTTCTATAGATGAAAATTGACATTTTATTTTTTTATAAATACTTTAATCCATACATTGTAATGGACACATTGTTAGGAAATATATGGATACATTATAGAACGTTGAAAATTTACACTTGTACCTCATTTTGCCATATCCAAGTGCATGGCACAACATAGTGCCTTAACCTCACAAATGCATTATGAAATTCTCTACAATACCATTGTTACCGAGCCATATGAGCACTACAGTTTGGCCACCACGTAGAATGGGAAGCGTGTTTTGGGATTTGAATCTACACATTTACTATGAATGTTTCTAGCACAATGTAAAGATGTCATTACCTGTACACTTTTAATAATACTTCCCACTAACAAGAATTGGTGGGTAAATTACTTCCAGAATATCATCCATTTTCTTTTTTTTGTTTGTTTGTCTTACAGCTCCAATTTTGAAGACCATTCTAAAGAGATAGACCTGCTCTACTCATTGTGTGAAACTACGTCAAACAGCTAATTACTCATTTCACTTTCAGAGTTTTGACAATACTTTAATGACAACCTCCTGTTCCCTATGTAACAAAAATGTAATGTTAACCCCTCAAAGGTTAGGGCATTTTAGAAGGTTCACAAATGTATATGTAAAATATAAATGTTAATAAAAAGTAAGACGTTTAATAGTTGGCAGCTATGAATATGTCATACCTACGCAGAGTTCAAGAACAAGTAGATTAGCTTGTATTTCTAAGCAATTGTACTGTGCATAAAAATATACTAAAATAAATATTTTTTTACATAATTGTAAACCCATATCCATGAATCACAGCATATATCCCATGAATATATTTTATTTTATCCAGCAAAAAAACCCAAATAGAAATACACAGAAAAACAACTGCTTCACCATCCGATAGCCAAGCACGGGCCCAGGGGGAAGGGGTGATTGGTGTGCACTTAGAGCAGGAGTGATTTTACCCTCCCCATTTAAGTCCATAGCTTGGGGGGTGAGGTTTGTGAGCACAGTAATAGTATCCTGGTCCATCTTACACTGGCATTGGAAGACTCAGCTTTTTCCCTCTGAGAACTGTTAGGAAGTGAAATATAATAATTAGTTTGTGTTTTTTTTTTTTTTATGCATTTATAAGAGTGACACTAAAAGTTCAAATGTTAGTAAACAATCAAATTCCATGAAAGGCAATGAGGGCTCAGTTACTCACTGAACAATAAATTATAGTAAACTGCAAACAGAGTGGCAAAGATTAGGCTAAAATAGTAAAGCCATGACTATGGTGGATTTGGAAAATGTTTCTAAATCAGATTTTTGGGCTAAATACTGCTCTTTGGTCCACTACCTTTCTCTGTTTAATAAACAGGTATTAGAGTTGCTCTTGACTTTTGTCTCACCCTGTATAATAATTTCATAATTTTGTGACATTTTAGTACCATAGCCTGGCTATTTTTCTGTGATCCCTTAGTTTTTCCTCATTCTTCGGGATGCTTTTAAATTTTCCTAATTATTAATTTTTTTAAAACCGTTTCATTTACTTCTCCCACATTATGACTTGTAAAAATCTCTATTAAAGAACCTGCCAATGAAGGGCTCACACCATAACACTACTTGTATAAACAGGAAGACACATAGACTGGCTGAATTTATATAGATACAGTGTTTTCATGATCCAGTGTTAAGCTGGAATGCTTGTTTCTCCACAAACTATGCATAGACATTCTTTAAGAACTTAATTTGCTCTGTAGCTTGTGCTGACAAGGTCCAAGAATCGGAGAAGCCCATAGGGCCATAAATATAATGCACACCTTATTATACTGCGATCAAGATCTATGGAACCTACAAAACTTGCACAGAAGAAGACCTACAAAGTGCTGATAAAGTTTGGAAGCAGATCCAGAAATTTATAGGTTAAGAGTGGGCAACCTTGGCACACTAGATGTTGTGAACTACATCTCCCATGATGCTTTGCTAGCATTATGATTGTAAAAAACATCAATGGAGATATAGTCCACAATCTATGGAGTGCCAAAAGGTTTGCCTAGGTCAACAGAACACAGGTAAGGACAAGTACTTTACCCCAGTACGCAAAATATAATAAAACGTGTTACCTGGCCTTAGAGTGAACAAATTTCACAATAAACAGGTAGATCAGTATTTAGGTAGAGACAGGTCAGGGTTCTCAGAATACAGAATGGTCAAGTGGAAAGCCGGGCCAATAACATTTATTCAGAATAGTATAAACACACTATTAGTTCAAGGAGAAACCACAACAGGGCACTGGTCACTTGAAATTTTGCTGTTTTAAAGGCTGGGAATGTAATTGACATAACCACACCCTAAAACATCATGGAGTGGTGGGTATGTCCAATTCCGTCCTACAAAGGGGCATGCGAGAAGCATGAAACTGCAAGGGATGGAACGAATGGCGGTCTGCTGAATCTGCACTCCCCACAGTTATCAAGGAGACTGCTGTACCCCTTACAAAACAGCACTTGAAGAGAAAGCATTGCATTGATGATGTCTAAAGCTTTGTCAGTTTTATGTCTACTCTGAGACCATGATTGATGAATACTTTGGCCTGAGATATATATCTGTTCCTTTGGAAAAGTAATTCAGCCATAACCTGTGTTTCACACATCATCAGATTTGTATCATTCGTAAATATGCTATTTACATTGTATAAAGCATTAGCAGCTTATCTCCCAGATAAGGTTTCCCTCTGTGTATCCTGCCTATTTGCTAATCTTCAGTAAATAAGGGAGATCTTTAATAACTTTTTCAAACCTCTCCTTGAAGTACAAACCCAAAACTATAACTTAGAAATCTACTCTAATTCAGATATTTTGAGGTTGTCCCAAACCCCCTTAACTGGTCGGAGGTTTTGTTTAGTTTCTAAAAAAAAAATTATGCTTATTTACAGAGTTAAACATAAGTAAACGCAGGCACTACTTTTTTCATTATTTATAACTCTAAAGTTGGCAAAGGGTGACGCTTTAGTCCTTTGTTAATTTTGTCATTGACCCATGGTCTGTGTACTCGCCTCCCTCCAGTTCCATGTCATATCCTGTAGCAGCGTGGCCTATATCCTCTCAGTTGACTCGCTCAGTCAACTTAGGTTCAGGTTACAAAGCATTGGTTAACTGGGTATGTGTGTGATTTGACACGTATGACCAGCTATGGGCAAAGTATGTTATTTCTGGGCACAATCATCTGTAATAGCAAATTAAAGGTACGTAAAAAGCATCCTGTGGCCCAAAAATGGTTGGGAGGATTTAGAAGTAAAGGATTAAGGAACTCTTTGGCTCTTAGTCAAGGGATCTAATTGTGACAGATCTGCTTTAAAAAGAAATCTCCAAGTCAACTCTGTTTCCAGTTTGGCTATTTTAAACTTAAAGTTAACATTCACTTTGATTCATCTTGGATTGCCAGCAATTCCCACTGTAATAGACAGTAATATTAGGCCTGACAAGCCTGCTGGCTCCTGGGATAAAATGCAAATACACTCTCCTACGTTGCACAGGCAATCGTTGTTACTTTATTCCATGTGAACATCACTAACCTATAACACACTGCCCAAAACGCGAGTTTCTTATTTTTTATCAACTAGACAGTTCTAGAATCTCCGATCTTGTGATAGCTTTAATGTTGTACAAATGGGAGTTTTATTTATTCAGCTTAGTTGTACACCCCTCGGTTTATCCCAGAGCTAAACTATATTTCTAGGAGGACTGGCACTGACACAGAGCTCACAACATATCTCTGTCTCTATGACAATAGCCACTTAATTCCTGCTATATCTCTTGGGTGGTTGATGGCTACCTGGTCATCTCCTGTCTTCGGTTGAACATGTTATTTCACTATAAAAAAAAAAAGTGACTTCTTCATCACCTAGTATAAATTCCCAAAATGTGTCATCATAATTCATAACGGTCTCTAATTACCTTTAGTTATATACAGGTAGAAGAAGTCAAAATAGAAGATGGTCTGCACCACTCCAGATACCACCGCAATCTGGTCATAGAACTTCTCAGTGTGGTAACGCCAAATCCAGTTAGCCAAGTAAAGCATGCGATAAAGCCCCAGAAAAAAGAGGTAGTGAGTTGTAATGGATTCAGCTTCTCCTGTCTTGCTGATCATGAAGAGCTGTGGCAGAATGGCCACTGATTCCAGATAAATAGAGAAAGTCCATAGGATCTAAAACACAAGACAAAAAAACAGACAATATAGAAAAGGTTATAGAGGAAAAATCCAATAAAGGTGTTGCAATTTTTTTCATTAAATAATTCATAAAGTTGTGTAACTTGGCAAAAGGTAGATCTCCACGGGTTGTAGACCATCATCCTCAGCAATAAGGCTAGCAAAGCATTATGGAGGATGTTGTTCTACAGCAGCTGAGGACCTACCTATTGGTCACTATTTCTTGTTAGTCGATATTCTTAAAAGAACGCTGCAAGCACCATAACCACAACAGTGTGTTACAGTGGTTTCGTGCTAGGAGTGGTGCTTCTTTTAATGTAATTAGTCAAAATGTTTTTGACTTCTATTGACTTCCTAAATGGAGTATGCCATGCACTGCTGTCTGAGAATGCCAGAAGTTCTTTGCCTGAGCCAAACTTGGTGGTGCAGGGTTTAGCTCAAGAGAACTAAAGGAATCTCCTAACAGGAGCTCCTAGCTCTCCAGAGTGGAAGAGGAGAGGCCGGGAGTGGAGCCAGGCAGACCCCAGGTAAGAAGTCAAACCTTTCTAAAATGTTTTGACTACTTACATTGGAGTGGGGACACCAGGGTACTCCTGGCATCATCACTGCTGTAGTGGTTATGGTGCTTGGAGTGCTCGTTTAATACATGCAGAAGGTTTGGTGTATACCTACAGGACAATAACCTAAAGGCGTTGTGTTAAAAAAACAAAAACATTTTACAAATATTATTTAATAGGATTTTCATTAAAAAATTGTTTCTAAATTGAAAGTGTTTCCGGTAATTGATTTACTGTAACTTTATTAATGTTTGACATTAGAATTTCATTTACATAGTTTTTCTATGTGTGTCAATGTAACACTACTGACATTTAAATAAAAAATACCTCCTTTTGGTGGAGGCCGACGTCCGACTCATGACGGGGAAGCAGCGCACCCACGGGAGCCTGGGGGTTACCGGGACGAGGAGAACTGAGATCCCCCACGAGTACTTCATCACTCATGACACTTAGCTCTTAGACCCCTGACAGATAGCTGACTCCTGGTTACAAGCGACCCATGGGGGGAGACATCCCGACGAGTGCCGGGTAGGCTTAGACATAGCAAGGGCTGCAGGCTCGCAAAATACCCATGCAACCAGGGGACTGCAACGCTTATACGTGCCCACAACCCAGAAGTCTAGCTGTTCAACCGTAAGGGTTCACCGCTCTCGGTAGCGCTCACTAACCAGGCTAATATCTGCTAGGTACACCCAATCCAAATTATCACTTAACACTGGGAACAACGCTAACGCACTTATTTAAAGTGAGCCCAGGCAAAGCGTATGGCCTAAACTTCACTACACGCTCGCAGGGAGTTGGAGTGAGTGCCCCTGTGCTTCTCACTTGCCCCCGCCCGAGCCCCCTGTAATCTCCTAAATTTTCACTATTTGAGATACCTAAGCTTCACATACTGCTGTTCGCTTAGACTACCGAGAAGCACGGTTGATATAAAGTTTCAGAATATCTTCATACAATATCAACCGTTTTACTACCAATACGTTGTTCTCCCTAGAAATGTTTTTCTTAACATAAACAGAGGCTCAAAGTTACTAAGAACGGTCTTAAAGTGTATTGTATTTTACCTGTTATGTATGGTACATTGTTGTCTTCCTTCTTTCATTTTGTATTCCATACAACTTAATGCCTCAATAAAAAAGAGATTGACAAAAAAAAAATACCTCCTTTGACAGCCATTACTGAAAGGGAAATGTTATAGTTGAAGATATTTTTTTGCAAATCATAAGCACCTTTGTGCATGGATATAATGATATTAAGCCTCTTTTGCATCATGACCAATGTCACCCCTTTAGTTAATTTCATTACATCTCATCCCATTAAGTCTTTGGGTTTACAGCTATGCTGCCCATTAAACTCAAGCTACAAAAAAAAAGACACCCCCAGAGCTCCTCCTCCAAGTGTACCTACCTTGAGACGTTATCTCTAATAATCCCTAATTTACACCTCTCGTAGAAGAAGGCAGAAATCATACATATTCAGGCCTTCTATAGAGATGCTTTTAATGCTTTGATCACATTTTTAGAATTATAGGAAAAATATTTTATTTTTTTTAAATCTAGGGCAACATACAATCGGCACTGTAATACTCAAATAATCCTTTGGCTACGTCTCTCGATTTTCCTATTAAGATTCCTAGCTGCTCCTTATTTGTACTTCCAAACATTGAGTTGTGTTTGGGTAGATCTCTGTTACGAGGACCAATGTCTACTTGTTATAAACTGATCCACAAATTACCTCCGGTGGAGACCTGCTCATTTTCGGTTGACTGTGAAAAAGTCATAGTAGTCACAATAACTGGAAACATGTGGAAAGATATATTCTCTTGCAATAAGGGTATTTCTCATTGTTTTTCCCACATAGAAAAATTGGTATATGGTCTGATCGAGCGCCTGGATCTATGTAACATATTTGGTGGTTGTGAAATTATTGCCTCTTTTTGAATAGGCATTAACTGAGTGATAGTGTCAGTGACAGGTGAACCTTTCCCTTTTACTCATAATGTATGCTCTTCCTTTTATTGACATACAATTTACCAAAGCTCCTACTGTAGCGTACCACATCCTTACATCGGGAATCCATATTATTGCCACTGATGTGGAGATCAGATAGAACACCATCCTTACATTCTTTGTGTGCTAAAGTTGCCAAAAATCAGGCTTTTAAAGGGAGCCTGGGCATCTCAACTAACACTAGGTCCGGGATGGCACGCAGGTAGGAGACATGGGATAGATATTGTAATGAGACCTGGCCTAACTGCTAATGACGTGCTGCACAGATAGATATAACACAGCCCAAGTCAAACCCTTACTATTTTGACGTGCCTCTTAGCAATTCGAGTTCCGATTCCAATTAGAATTCCTGTTATACTGTTTTGATTTGGATCACATTACTTACTCGCAATGCCTACTGACACCATATACATTTTGCTAATGACATTTGCTGACCAGAGTTATGTTTGTCAGATATGTAATGCCTGGCTGAGAACCCCTTGCAAATCTGTACTGTATATGTATTGTACCATGTTTTAATGTTACAATGTTATTCTTTATTTAATGTTTATCTTTTTTACGTCAAGTGGTTTCATTCTTCCGTTATATCATGTTGTAGACAGTGGTTGTCTACTGTATGCCATGACTATGCTTAACTAAACTCTCAATAAAGTACAATAGAATAGCTTTACTTCTGCTTTTCTCAAACGTCTCTCATTTGCAACACTTTCTTTATAAAAGTAACACCTTTGTAATATTCATATGTACTTTATGAGAGATAAGCAAAACATTCCCCTGTATACTCCCATAATGCATTGCGGCATCTTGTTTTGCCATCCATGTATTAGATTCTATCCAAAAATCTCCCAATGAACTCTAGCAGCTGTGCTGAAGATACAGGTAGCTATCAGCCAACTCATGATCAGCATTTTTACGTGTCAAATAATGTATGTTTTCGGCTCACACAGTCACCAATTGCTGTGGGGGTGTCTGAAAGGAGCCCGGCTGACACATGCCTGACAGTTCTCTGCCATGGTAACTCAAAACAAAACCTGCAGTTGCCTCCACTACATACCATATAAACACCAAAGGGATGGGTTGTACATCATTTCCTCATTTAGGTATAGCAGAGCCCTACCAGCTCCATACCGTGCCGGTAACCTCTGTCTCTTGTTAATCTTCCACTAAATAAATTAGAGTCAGATGTATCTGCAATGTGTATGCCAGGTATATGTGTTAATATGTTTATATGAAACAAAAGAAAACTTAACTCAAATATCGGGAGTATTCCTTTTCATACTTGCAGTGAAAAGCCCGCAGAGTGCAGGTTGTTTTCTTCAAATCTGTAGCTGATGATGCCTGGGAATTATTATTAACTCATCATGTCTAATCTTTGTCTTAGCAATGAATGAGACTTCAAGTTAGCCGGACAAAGGTACTGTATTTTAATTACTCTAAGGTCAATAACTATGATAGATAGATAGATAGATAGATATATCTATGTGATAGTGGGCTTTTACTGTTTTTCTACATATTGCAAGAAGTCAGTGGAAAATGGTATACTAACAGAAACATCAATAAACGTATTGGTTTCTATTCCGGGAGCCGTTTTAGAATAAGCTAGGCTCCCTAAGTGGGGGGACATACGTTTTGTAGTCCATTATTCATTTTTTGTACAAATCTGTTGAACATACAGTATCTTTTTATTTATTTTATTTTTTAATGGAGAATGTACACCACTTGATTAAATTGAAAATATTTTTTCCTGCATGTATATTTTGTATAGGTCCCTAATTAATTAGAGCATCCCTACCATTTTCATTGGTCACTCTGATCTTGAAGACCGGTGAGTTCAAATATAACTTTAGACCAGGTGTAAGCAACCTTTAGCACTCCAGATTGTCTAGACTACATCTCCCATAATACTATTACAGCCATGATAATGGTCAAGCATCAGTGGAGATGTCGTCCAAAACATCTGGAGTGCGAGGGTTGCTTATCCCTGTGTTAGACAATTGGCTTCTCTCACCTCCAGAGGAGTGAATTCATAATTTTCTAGGAAAGACAGTCCTATGACAGGCACCAGGAGAAATTCCAGCCGGAATGTGTCGTTCTCGCTATCGTATGTCTTAGATAATCTGATGTAAATCAGGTAAACTGTGATATAAGCACACAACAAAAAGATGACCTGAGGTAAAAAGACAAGAGAATTGATTAAAACTACTGTATTTCCTAAAGGATCCATCCCTCATTCATACAATGTATTCTTTGTCATTTCTTTATTTATACAGTAAGCAGTTAATTTATTTTATACTGATGAAAATTCAGCCAAAAAGGTCTGTGTAATTGGTATTCAAATATAGCATAGGTATAGACGGCATAACATATTGTAGCAGAGCGACAAATCGCAGAGACTATTTAATAAGTCCATATAATTAAATGCCAAGAAATCCCTTAGCCCTTTAATTAGATTTATATTGTGCTAATATATGCTTCATTAATCAAATGTATACTGTGTGTTTCCAAAAATCTGTGTCTATGGGGTTTGGTACTGAATTGTGAAACTGAGTAAAGATTCGGAGGGAATATAGCCAAAAATAGCAAATCTCTGAGGTTTATTCACTAAACTAAGAATTGACAAGGGAAATGCAAATTTTGTGCCAACATAGCTGTACTAGAAAAGTAGCTGATTTGGAGATTGTATTGTTTCCTTTTTGTGTGGCTATTTTAGATTGAAATTTGCAATTCCCCACCATTCCTTTTAGTCAAAAATTCCCTCTGTGTAAATTGGTAACTAATAAGTTCACCACTAGTTTAAAAGGGTAAATTGAATGTCACACATATTTGAAACTACAAGTGTAAAAGGTACATTTAGTTATGAAATACGATGTTCACAATTAGCTCCCACCATCCCTCCCAACCACGATGCACCCTCTTCTCCACACAGAAGTAATTTCTTTATCATTGCCTCCCTCGCGTTCATCTAATGCTCTTGTTATGAGTTACACCAGTGACTTCCCTCCCACATTCACTTGATCTTTTCCTTCCTGTCCTTTTTTAGTAGACTGCCATTGCCTTCATTTTTCCTCACCTTCATTACAGTATTGTAGATGGAAATAAATGAGGTTAATAAATCCAGGTATCTTGTGGTAAATACCACTGCAAACAATAGCTGGCTTTTCCCAGAGATACCTGTTAAACAGAGACAAAGAACAACAATTGGAAAGGTCAGTCACAGACGTATAACTTTTCTAAAATGGTTGAAGCATAGACAAGATTATAAGGACGTATCAGTCTATTACTTCATATAGTACCAACACAGACCAAGCCCAGAAATAATCAATGTCTGTTAATAGTTCAAGGAACACTATGGGCACCACAAAACTCCATAGAGTTATGTTACCAGGAGGTCTGGGACGCCATATTGCCATAAGCGTTTTAACGGTTTATGAATGGTTTAATCCTACAATGCCCCTTGTTCCTTTGTCATACATTTTTCTCACTGGGAAGCCCGTGATAGGCAGTGTGTCAGCTAACACGCTCAACCTATCATTGGGCCCGATCTGAGGCTTCCACGATGCTTTGATTACAAAGTTTTGACAATAATGACAAAACACGGCAAATGGGCATAGGATGAGGGCCAATCATTAGGAAAAGGTCAAGGACAAGCAACGCGACCAACGTGAACAGGATTTATCACTTAGATCAGCTTGGCCAGAATATTGAACTCTAGCATGAAAAATATTCTCTTATTGTGGCCAAGGGCCTTATTTCACTTAAAGGACACCTGTCAGATCAAAACTATTTTTTTAATATAATAATCCTTTCATCAAGTATTGGAAGGAAATCGATAAAAAAAAAAAAAAAGAGCGAGAAAACTCTTCCTACTTTTAGCACATGACAGGCGCCGTCAGCCATATACATGCACCTTGGGTCACACAGTGTTTGAAACCAGCAGTTAGTCTTTGTAGGGAGTGAAGCAGCGAAAACCAGAGATTCTAATTGTTGGATTCAAACACTGTCTGACCTAAAATGCATGTGTATAGCTGAAGGATACTGTCATATACTAAAGTTATTGAGGTGTATTTCTATTTCTTTTTACATATACTTAACTTAAAAAAAAATAATTTAAAAGCTTGATGAAAGAATTATTATACAAATAAAATAGTTCTGAGTGCCCAGACTGCTATAAGTCAGCAATCCATACCTGAATACAGGCAATTTGTGCATAAAAAAAATAGTCATTACTGTAAGTTCAAAAAATGTTACCATGAAAATCACATTTTGTGTTATAGCAAGCTTAATTCTTTCATATTACCATTGCATTTTTTGTATAAACTGCATATTTGAATTGGCATGGTAGTTACAGTATAACCTTAAATCCATTCTTTTTTTTTTTTTTTTTGGATACAAATTCCAAATTTAAGATTTATCAAATTTCTGCGTGGACAATACTGAAAAAATACATAAAATTGCTTGTGTTAACCTTTTTTCAAATGTTGTTTGTGATTTAATTAGCTTAAAGATCCCAAATCTTTTTACAGATTCAGTGAGACAGTCCATTTTCATTGACCCTATTTCTGCTTTGAGGGTTTTTTTTGGTCTGGTCTCATACTTAGTAATTTCCTAAAAATTTTGTATTGGTTCTCATTAAATGTGCTTGCTACTGTTCAACATCATTGGACATGACAGTGCTTCCGCTATCAAGGGGCAATGACAGCCAATCAGCATCAAGAGCCAGATGATGATGGCTTTTTAAAATGGGATCAAGCTAGCATTTGTTTATATATCCATAAAGTAAGTAAGGGTCGGCTTCTCTCATTTTTTCTGAACCACCTTGTAGTACATTTTTACAAGCACCGCTTTAATAGTTTGCCCTTAATAATGACTCGAAAGTTAAGTAAGGTGTTATGATATATGATATATTTAAAAAGCCATTACAAATAACACTTTCACATATATTAGTTAATGTTTAGAAAACTTTACAGTGGAACTAAATCAGCCCATCCTATACATTTGTGGCTGATTTTTAATTTAATTTTTCTCTTTCAGGGTTATTTACTTAAGTGAAAATGTAAAGTGAATTCAAATTTTAAGGTGCACTCAATGCACCAAAACAACTTCATCTAAATTAAGTTGTTATGGTGCCAGGAGGCACCCAGGTGCACTCTTGTCCCAAAAAGTAAAACTGTTCTCAAAGCGTACCTTTTCCAGCCAGTTTTGTGCATTGGGAGTCACCGTGTGGCTGAAACCTCTCTCAGCCAATCAGCAGCACCCCTGCCCGTTGGCAATTCTACCTTCATGAAACTGAAATTTCAAAAGTTGGATGCCCCCTGGGGGGAGCTGAGAACGGCACTGCAGGCAACTTTGGGGTTAAACAGAGGTAAAATTTCTTCCGTGGGCCTACTGGCACCATAAGGTACAATAACAACATTTATTTAGATTAAGTTGTTATGGTCCCTAAACTGTCCCCATAGGGCCAAAATAGCTGAACTGAAATAGCTTCCAGTTCAGCTAGTTTTACCTAAAATCTGAAATTCACTTTGAATTCTCACTTTAATAAATAAAAAGAGAAACTTTTATTTAGTAAATAAGTGAAAGAGACATTCTAAAAAAACAAAAAACGTATAGGATGGGCTGTTCCGGTTAAATCTTAACTCTGAATCAAGAAATATAATGGATAATTTTGTATGTTCCAGTTAGATCCTTCTGAAGTATTTTGGTAACACTCCTCTCCAGAAAGGCCTGAGGGGTATATTCGATAAACCAGGAATATTTGGAGAATTTTCAATATTTGATGCCAAAATATCTGAGTATTGCAGTACGCAATGACACTTTTTCTATTTGACTAACATAATATTTAAAAGACAAGCTTTGTGTTCCTCCTCTCTTCCTCAGGTCTGAATCAACATTGATTAATATGATAGAATGTAATAACTAATGTTAGTGGGATGGGGGCCAGTGTAAATTTGCTATTCCCATGGCAATTGTCAAACTCAGAAAATAGACCGCACAGTCTTGCAATGTTACACTATCTCCATATCAACACAAGTGAGTGCTGTAATATATATATGTGTGTATATATATATATATATATATAAAAAAAGTTTCCAAAGATAGCACTCCAGGGACTTGAAAAAAGTTTGCTTTAATTACCTTTCAAATATCCAAAATGTCAACGTTTCAGCCCAATAACCTTAGGCTTTCATCAGATGTCCTGATGAAAGCCTAAGGTTATTGGGCTGAAACGTTGACATTTTGGATATTTGAAAGGTAATTAAAGCAAACTTTTTTCAAGTCCCTGGAGTGCTATCTTTGGAAACTTTTTTTGTGTTTTGGCTGACAGGCACCGGGCATTATATCAATTAAGAAGGTGGAGTGCAAGATTATTCTCAATTTTTATATATATATATATATATATATATATACACACACATACACACACACATACATACACACACACACACACACACACACACACACACACACATATATATTTTAAATTTAGAGTATGTCTAAAAAATTGCATGAACCAACAATAGTTTCTACTTTTTTTGCCAAACCACAGAAATAAATAACTTTGCATCAACTTTAACATCAATGATGATATACATAAAATATTTCGAAGAATTTAACTATTTTTCAGTAGTAAACACCAATGTCCCTAAAGCAGAAGAAAAATTAATTAAAAAAAAAAAAGCACCCACACCCCCCTTACTACTACTACTACTACTATTGCCATTGGAGTTTATACAGCAGACAGTGAATTCAAAACTTTTGGGTTAAAATAATCAAACTGTAAAACACTCCAGTTCATTGAATTTAAGATTGAATGTTTTTCCTAAATACTTATTCAATAAGCCCCCAAATGGATCTTTTCCAACATTGTTTCCTTTCTCCCAAATCTCACTATTTCTCTTTTATTATTACAGTGCTTTGTTCTGTTGGACCCCTTCAGAACCCTCTCATACTCACCAGCACAGGACTTTGACTTCCACATCTTCATCAGCAAAATGACCATTGCTAATAAGTGGGACACATCACCTAATATCCTAAAAATATTCATTTTATCTGATGCACTGCTTCAAACCCTCTCAAAAAAAACAAACAAACAAAAAAAACACAACCTAAAACCAGCTCTGGGCTAAATTAACGTTAGTTTTCACTAAAATCGAAGTTACAGAAAAAGTAACTAATTTCACTCTGCAACAGTGAAATGTATCTGATCAGTAAAATGGCAGATGTCCACGCACAACTTGTACAAGTAAAAACTAGTTTTAAAAAAAGTTAACTAATCCTAGAAGTTAACCATCCAGCCTCACTGGCAATATAGTTTAAACAGGAGGAGATCTTAATCGTTAAAAGTAACATTAAAAGTGAACATGTGAAGATCCAGGGCTGGTAAAAATTGTCCCCCTGCAGAGGGCTGCAGCACAGGGGTATTCTGCGAGGGTGCCCTGATAGATACCCAGTGATGGGAGGAAAAGGGGATCCTAGATGGCTGTTGCTGACTCCCCACAAGCTGGTGACGTGGCTGCAGTTTGCATGGCCAGTGGGGTAATGCAGGCAGGGGGAGGAGAGGTGGGGACTGGGAGGAGTAGGAGGAGATGATTAGGGATTGAGGATGCATTGCTCCTTCACTAGTTTAAAGGAGACTATACAAAGTATCCTCCGACAAAAAAAAAAATACTGACTCAGTGGGACCCTCCCATTCTGCCACAGCAGCAGTTTTTGTGAAGCAGTGGCACACAGGGGGAGTCTTATAGAAACACTCAGTGGATCGTCTGATTCTATAGAATCTTTTAAATTCCATAGAATCTTCAGAAAAAGGCCTCATATATACAGATCCCTCCACACTCATTCAGGGCTCGCTGAGCATTGCTTGATGACTAGTTTGGTTTTTGCCACAAACACAAACTGCAGGATTTTTTTTTTAAATGCTGCTTTTACATCCTGGAACACGGTGAAGAGGATAACAAAGTATAATTATGGTCTGTTTTATTTTTAAATGAAATATAGAACAATAAATATTTTATTGTAAACGTTACAAAACATTTTTCACATGTTAAATATTTAAAGAAAACTGTATTATGAGCTAAACATGTTTTATAAGTATCTATAACAATTTTTTTTGGTCACATTCATAAGTTACAATAGTAAACCAGGACCGTCTTTCCACATGGGCACGCTGGGCACTAACATAGGGGCCCCACAGTGTTGCTCATGTACCAGGGCCGACAGGGGAGATCCTTTGATCTCCCCTGCCGGCCCACGGAGAGCCGGCCCTGTACTTGTTTTGGGTCCTCACGGGCCGGTGGGGAGATCAAAGATCTCCCTCACCAGCCCAAATGCCCTTTGCTGGTGAGAGGGAGGGAGATATTTCCGACAATCTCATTGATTGTTACATTTACCACTTTTATAATATTGTAAAGCACTATTGAATAAGTTGAAACTATATAAATGCCAATAATAATAATACTTTCCATCACTACAGCTGTATCCTCCTCTTTGGCCTCTGTCCCCTCTACTATAGTCTCACCCACCCACACTACAACCCCTATCCCACCCTACTTTAGCTCATAATCCACCATATTAGTCACCATCCCTCCTACTAAAGCCAAATTCCCACACTACAACCCCTATCCCGCCCACCACAGCCCCTATTACCCACACTACACAACCTTTCTCCCCCAATCCCTATGACCCCCAAACACAAATATACACTACAGCCCTTACACCCTTATTTCCCCCTTGCACATACACTACAACCCCAATTTCCACACATACACTTTGCAGACCCAATTTTCTTCCAAAACACACACTATAACCCAGGGGCGTACCTAGAGCATTTGGCACCCGGGGCGGGTCCTGTGCTTGGCACCCTCTTGCCCCAAGCCCCGCCCCCAGCGCCAGTTTGGCCCCGCCCCGATTTTGCTTAGCTCCGCCCCACTTTTCCTCCGTGCGGACAGTTTATCAGCTGTTTGCTTGTGTGAGCTGTACCTAACTACCATGGGGCACTGTGCGGCCACAGCTCACACAGCCCCTTCCAGCCAGGGCCAGTGCAAGGATTTTTGCCGCCCTAGGCAAAAGTAAAGTTTGCCGCCCCCCCATGTAACATCACAATGCCCCACCCATATGATTTGCAATGTTATCTAACGCCAGTGCTGCCGTGTTTACATTAAAAGGCCTGCAGGGACAGGCTATAAACATCAGAACCACTACATTAAGCTGCAGTGGTTCTGGGGACTATAGTGTTTCTTTAATGTGAGGTAAATTAGAGATTAGTGCCACGAATAATATAAATAATATACTAAATTGCCTACTTACAACCAGATGTGGATGATGACGGGCTCTAGCTGCAGTCTGGCTCCACTGGTCTGGTGCAGAACAGGCTCCCTGGAGGCGGTTTGTAACTGTGGTCACAAAAATCAATGTTCTGGGAGAACGGGAAGCAGCTCCATTTTTTGAGGGCCCTTTAAACAGCTCAAGGTCTGGGTCCCTGGGTCCACCTTCATGTTCCACCAATGAGTTTGTTCACAGGGGGTGGAGTGTGTAGGGGATGTCCTGATATGTGTGTAAGGAATGCATTGTGTGAATCTGTGTTTGTATGTGTAAGGGCTGCAAGGTGTGTTTCTGTGTATGTACGAGATGCATTGAGTGTGTGTAAGGGGTGCCCTGAGTGTGTGTAATGAATGCATTGTGTGTAACGGTTGCATTGCTTGTGTATGTGTGTCTGTGTGTGTAATGCATTTTGTGTTTTTCTGTGTGATGAATGTCAATCTCTCCCCCCCTCCAATTTACTTCTCTCTCCCCCCTCCCAATTTTTCTTTATCCCCCTCTCCCAATCTTTCTTTATCCCCCCTCCAATTTCCTTCCCCCCTCCCAATTTCTTTCTTTATCCCCCCTCTCCAATTTCCTTCCCCCTTCCCACTCTCTCCTTATCCCCCAAATCTCTTATTACCCCATCTCCTTATTCCCCATCTCTCTTATTACCCCCATCTCTCCTTATTCCACCCCCATCTCTCCTTATTCCACACCCCATCTCTTCCACCCCCTATCTCTCCTTATTCCACCACCTATCTCTCCTTATTCCACACACACCCCTATCTCTCTTATTCCACCCCATCTCTCCTTATTCCACCCCATCTCTCCTTATTCCACCCCCCATCTCTCCTTATTCCACCCCCTCTCCTTATTCCACCCCATCTCCTTATTACCCCCATCTCTCCTTATTTTCCCCCCATCTCTCCCTTATTGCATCCCCATCTCTCCTTATTGCATCCCCATCTCTCCTTATTCACCCCCATCTCCTTATTCCACCCCATCTCTCTTATTCACACCCCCCATCTCTCATATTCCACACCCCCCCATCTCTCCTTATTCCACCCCCATCTCTCCTTATTACCCCCTCACCTCTCTTGTTCCACCTCCCATCTCTCTTATTCACCCCCATCTCTCCTTATTCCACCCCATCTCTCCTTATTACCCTCACCTCTCCTTATTCCACCCTCCCTCCCATCTCTCCTTATTCCACCCCCTCCATCTCTCATTCCACCCCCCCCACCTCTCCTTATTCCACCCCTCCTTATTCCACCTCCCCCACCTCTTCTTATTCCACACCCCCCTTATTCCACCTCCCCCCTCTCGTTTCACCCCCCCACCTCTGTTGTGGCGTGGCCGAGCCCAGTACAGTATTGTTTCCTCCGGACTAACAGGAAGATGCACACTCAGTGTGCACTTCCTGTTAGTCCGGCCGGGTACAGGAGACAGATGCTCCCTGTACCCGCGGACCATACAGAGCTCGGCCACGCTACAGGGAGGGAGTGACAGGAGGGAGTGCTGAGCGCTTCCCTCCTCTCAGCCCCTCTCCCCATGCTGCGACCGGGCGGGCAAAGCTGCAGCTGCCAGAGGCTCTCTGCAGAGCGCTCGGGCGGCTGCAGCAGGAGGGGGGCCGGCGCCCACTCCCAAGGCACCCCCCACCCTGCTGGCACCCGGGGCAGACCGCCCCCCCGCCCCCCCTGCTATAACCTATATCACCCCAAATGCTCCCTATAGCGGAATGGGGTTTGCTACAGTTCCCTTTTTATACAAGGGGCTGTGCATAACCCTTTTGTTTCTTTATTTTATTGGGATTGCAACTGTTTGTTACTTGTAGAAACAAGTAACAGGTTATTATTTTGTATTATTCAGTAATAGCCTTCTGTTCAGCTATTTCCACTATATAGTTCAGCAAACGACTTAAATACCGAACAACCAGGCCACCCATGCGAGGAGCGTGGCATCAATTAACCCCCCCAACCTGGTTCACACTCTTTGATTGCAAACACACGAACAAACTGGGTGATCTCCTTGGTGGCCGCCATTCATCATACGAACACGTGGCAGCGGCCATCTTAGCATACGAATTACACCAGCGGTGTTTGGTTCTCGAGTGTCTGGAACCCAAATCGGACACTCAACGGCACGAACACCACAGAGACTTCCATCTTCGTGTAAGTTCGTGTGAACTCAAAGGAACAGAGTGGCATTCAGTAAAAAGAATCACACAAATGAGAGGAATTGCACAAACTAAGACACAAGCCATAATTTTATGTACTTTCATGCATTTCAACTTCCCGAATGGAGTCCGACCGCACAGACCATACCCATGGAACTATTCTCGGCTTACACCTCGTCTGCGGTCAGTAAAACTAAGACCTACATAAAACTGTTGAACCCCTGAACCGATCTGGGTGATTTTTCAGTATGTTGCCCCTCCAGATTGGGGCTATCAGAGGATGTTGGAATTATGAGTGTATTACATGTTTTGGGGGTATTTCCAGAAAAGTATGAACATTGTGATTTTTCTGTTTGGAGATAATTGAGTTGATACAGTAATTAACTCAATTATCTCCTGAGCAGAGAGTAAGGATTGTGTGTAATGTATAGGAGTGACTTATTACTTCCCTTTGTCTGTATTGGTTGTTTTATATTTTTACCGGTGCCCTACAAGGTCCACCAGGGTGGTAACCTTTGGGGCAAAACCTGCATAAAAGGCCAGCCTGGCCATTAAAAGTTCAGTTCTGCTCCTAATACTGAGTGTCGTCCAGTTATTGGGAAGGATGATGGGATATTCTGCTGTCTTGAAGTTTCCTGTTTGTTCCTGAATAACTGTGGGAGTAACCAGAGAGAAAAAGCCCTGCTACCACTGCTCTCCACTACACAACCTACTGCCTCTATCCCCCCATATCAACCTTTCTTTTTTTTAATATTTATTTTATTTATCAATATTTTTCTTTCCTTTTATACATATCAAATAAGCAATTATTATACTGATTTTACAAATATCAATATTACATCCTTAATATTACTACAATCATATATATTCATTTAATCATCCATAGCATTATAGCATTAACATTATATATTGTTCACAACAATAAAACATACATATAGAAAAAAAACACCAAAAAAAACACATTTATATTAGACTCGATAGGGGATGGGCCTCAAACTTACAGCTCGTTATTATATGTTATATAGGGAATTTGGAAGTCCAAGGTAACCAAAGCTCTTTCAAATCCTTGGTTAGAGATTCCATCTTATATTGAAACCTTATTTGCTCCATTATTTCTTGCCAGTGTGGTGGGTTAGGAG